TGACATGCTTTTCCCTTTTCTTTTTAATTGTTCTGTAATTCTAATTAAAATAATTTATTTTTAGGGAGGTGGTGAAAGGCCAAAGACGGTCTGGCAAGGAGACCTCCTTTCTGAGGAATGACCCATACTGGTTTCATGCAGAGGACATTCCTTGTGTTGGTGCCAGACCAGAGCAGTACTCACTCACCTGAGGATGTCATTATACTTATGTTGTAACATCCATATTCTGCAGAAGTCATGGTCTCTCTTCAGCTAAAGGGAAATCTAGTAGAAGTGGATCTAATTTATGAATCACAGAGAACTGAAAAAATGGTGATATGTTTTAAAGGCTTTCTCGGTTAATAAAATGCTGCTGCTACAACATATTAGAAGTAGTATTTTATATTTTTATAATATGTGGTCCCTGCTGATGTTCTCCCATGGGTGCACTGATAGGATTATCTCCTCTGATGTGGTTCAGGGAGATCCCTTCTGGGAACCCTCAGGTCTGCAGAGGAGGAGACTCCCACAGCTGTTGGGTGCTGGAGGGAGTTGGCATCATCACTGCCATCGGTTGCCCACACTGATGGATTTAGAGAGAGCATCCTTGTGTAGGGTGTGCAGCCTTAAAAACAAACCCCCAAAGGTTGGACTTGGTTCAGGGGAAAGGAGCTTGTACTATTAACTGCCTGATGTTTCCCCCAGTTTCATCTGTGGAGTATTACAGATTGGCCCAGATCTGGGGCTGTTTCTCCTGCCCTGTGTAGACCCCTCAGTGAAGTGGCTTTTCTGTACTGGCTCACAAAGGATACCTCCTCCTGCACCCATCATGTTAACTGGCTATTGAAGTAAGTGCCCGTGTCAAAGCAAGCAGCTGTACTCAACCCCAGTATCTCCATGTCTTGTATATGCTGAAAAAATTCTCTCTTTAAAAGTATTTATGTTAATAATGCAATAAATATGTAATGCTTTTAAAACAGCTGCTGTTGAGTCATTTGTTTATCTTGTACAATTTTTGCCTGAACTGGTAACAAGCCTGTCACAGAGTCTCTTGGAGGCACTTGGCATCAGAGAGCCTGAGGCAGGATTTGTGGGTATGGCACCCTGTGGTGTCTGCCTGGGCTGGTGGCTGCTCTGTTGTTCGGGATCTCCTGCCTTGGCTCCGCACCCAACATTGATTTGGGAAGGGCCAGTGGCCTTTTTCCTGCAGTCAGCAGAATCCTCCAGGCTGGCCCTGGAGCAGAGGGAAGAAGCAGAGGGGGCCAGCGGGCAGTGGGGTGCCATGAAGCAAATCCTAGAGCAGAGGGGGAGGCAGAAGCCTGAGCCTTCCTCCAGCTTTGGAGCTCTCCTCCCTCCTTGCTGTCTCCTGACTGCTCTGGTATCCTCCTGGGGTGGAACAGTCCCAGCTGCTAAAGAATACCTTGACATTTTTCTGGGTATGCTCACTGGGAATGCTCATCCCAAAACTTGGCAGTTTGGTGTCCTGAGTGGGCGTAGAAAAAAGGAATCCAGGGCTGTTTTTTTGCTGCTAGCTAGAAAGATTAAGGGAAAGGTGTCCCTGTGGAACAAGGAGCTGTTCCTCCAGCAGCCACGGGCTTGATCTAAGAGCTGCAAATGGGATGTAAATGGTCTCCATTGGTGCAAAGGCTGGTCCTGAGTAGCCTGGGCAGACAGGTGGAGTAGTGGTCTTGAGCCTGGCTCCTCCCAAGGACTGAGCAGGACATGAAATGACCCATTTGCACCTGGTGGCAATGCCTGTCTGCAAGGAATGGGAACACCTCTGGGTGACTGGGTCTGCCCTAATGGCAGTCCCAACCCCACTCTTCCCCTGGGCCTGGCAGTCCCTTGGGAAACCCACTGTGCAGGTGAAGCCATCCTTACCTGCACACAGTGCTTTTGTCAGCCTAGCCATGCCTGTTCTGGGCACCCAAAACAAGGTAGCCTCTTTGCCTCCATTCAGCTTGAGCGTTTGGCTGGCCACTTTCCAGCCTTCACAGGAAAGGTTGCTCAGGACACAAGCGTTTCAACCTTGGACAGTTAAGTCAGTGAAGGCAGACTGGTGCAGTGTCTCCTCAGCAGGCATGTGCCCTGCCTCCCTGCACAGGCTGCTCTTCTGTGGAATGACTTCCTCTGTCCTTGGCAAAGCACCTGTCTCTAACCCATGGTGTGCAGCGGCTCAAGCTTTCTTAAACCAGTAGGTGGAATTTGGGTTTTATGGTTTCCTTCATGACCTGTGTAATGTTGTGCTGCTGGGGCTGGGCTGCAGTGGTTCAAAAGTGGTTCATTTATGTGGATGATCTCATCCCCATTTTCATTGCCACAGGAAACTACCTTAGATGTGAAGGTTACTCTCCAGGACCGTGAGCAAGTTACTAGCTGCCGGCAGCTGTGAAGAATCATGTTTATGACTGGATTATTCCCCAGCTCTCAGATAAGAGCTGTCTCCATGCCTGCTGGTGACATCAGCAGCAGGGTCCCTGCAGGGGGCTGGCTGGCAGCAGGGGCAGGGTGCTGAGGGGCAGGCTGCAGTGGCACTGCAGCTCCCACCTGCAGCCTGTGCCCGGCTCCTCGCTCCACATCGCGCCCGGAGCAGCCGGAGCCACAGGACGCCCAGAGCAGAGCTGAAGGACACTCTCAGGCAGAAACATGGAGGGCTTTAGAGGCAGGAGGGACCAAATGTGTCTTTATCTGGGCATGCACATGGCCAGAGAAGGTGAGAGCATTCAAGGAAACATTGATGGATTTCTTAAGCTGAAGAAATACCTGTGAGCTATAAGGAAATGTTTGGGCAAGGACTAGTAACAGCAGATGTCAAAGCAGCCATATGTTGCTCACCTTCATTGATGTTACTGGGCCAGGGAGTGCTGAATAATAAAGGCAAGTGACATAAGAGAAGAAAAAGCTTTTAGCTGTGAACTGTTCAGCTCTGCTTTTAGGTCTGTATGTACCATGACAGTGCCTGGGTAGGTGTTATGAGCTCATATTGTTTGCAGCTGGAACCAGTATCAGCAAGTATGTCCTCTAGAAAGAACATGGGGAGTGTGAGATTAAATAATATGACCCTAACTATATGTATCTGTCTTGCCAAGTTGTGCAGAGGGCCAGTTGTTTGGAATGTGAATGAAAGTATTTCTGTTGAACTGAAAATTAACTTTTGTAAGTCAGGAAAATAAAACCAATGCCCAGAAAGTGATCTTTCTCTGAGCATTGTCAGGAGATGCCCACAACATGGTGCTGGACTTTCCTGAGACTTGCAAGGCTGTTTGTTTTTTTATGTCGCACCCTGCTGAATGCCTAAGTGCAAAATCTTCTGGTACTGTCATGTTTCTTTTTGGACAACCAGCAAATATCCCCATCCATATTAGATGCCCCTGTTTTTGCCCTAAGTATCTCAATTCTGCTCATCCAACAGGAGAGAAGCAAGGAAATCTGGTTTCTGCTAAAAAGGAAGATAGTGATTTTGGGAAAGAGACAGGCAGAGGAACCCTTATAGATTCTGGATACTCCTGAGAACAAAGGAGGATTCCCTGGGATTTGAAGTGATGGTGGGAAATCCAGAAGTCCTTGTTTCCAACACTGGGCAAAGAAATTCTGCCCGTGAAACCAGTGTTTCTGTGTTACCATTACTGGCAGAGATATTCCTTCAGATTGGATGTACATTGCTGTCATCCCTTTCACAGCAGAAATGGACCCACTGGCTTAGTGTCCCCTGGGTGTCCATGCTCTTTGTCCTTTATCTCTTGCAATTTGCACACCATTATTTATAACTTCATGCTTTCCAGTCTGGCTGTGTTGATGGCTCTCTCTGAAGGTCATTCTGGCTTCATCGTGGTTGTCATTCCTGGTGTAAGGGGGGGCCCATGAAAAAAGTTTATTCTTCATGCTTGCCTTGTCATCTTGTCCTCAGGTACGTGATCATCTCCCGGGAGGAGAGGGAGCAGAACCTGATGGCCTTCCAGCACAGTGAGAGGATTTACTTCCGTGCCTGCCGTGATATTTGCCCTGGGGAGAAGCTACGGGTCTGGTACAGTGAGGATTACATGAAGCGGTTGCATAGTATGTCTCAGGAGACCATCAACAGAAATCTCACAAGTGGTGAGTCCCCCTTCCTTTCCATCTTCTTCCCTCGTCCCCTTGGGCTGCCACATTTGTTGGACCAATTGCAGTGGGTGAAGTAGGTGACCCACAGGCTATGCAAGGAGAGCTGCATTGCTAGGAGCAGAGCACCTCTGGGTGATACCTCTGCAAGGCATGGATGGATGAGTGTACAAGAAGAATAATACAACCACTGTCATGGAGATCATGAAAGAAAGATTTGTGCTGTGTTGTGTCGTGTCACGTGTTGTTGTGTTACGTCGTGTGTGTGCTTCAAGGGCCTGAGGCAAAGCCCAGGGATCACAGAGCTCCTCTGTTACAAGACTTTCTGGCCTGAAGATTGCCAAGCTGGTTCTCCCACAGACAGGCATTAGGTTTTTCTTCTGAATATGATGCTTTCCCTGACTCCTATCAGCAGCCTGTTTGAGGGAGCTCTGGCTGGTTTTGTGTGCATACGAAGGAGAGATTTCCTTGGTGTGTTTGTATGTCCATTTTTCTTGCTTAATTTATCTCCTCTTTCTTCAGAAAAATAATTTGGGATCAGCGCGACATCAGCTAGAGACTCCTTAGTCTCACAACCTTAGAGTGCATGTACAACGTACAGGAGGCTTTATACTTGTCAGACTGATTCTTCCCTGGATAAAAATTGTTATCTTAAGAGTAGCCATGCCGGAACAAACCCAGCGGTCCTTTAGGTCAGTCTAATGTTAGCAATACAGGAAGCTTTAGAGGAACACAAATATTCTTAATGCATCTATTCATCTATGCAATGCTGAGGCCTGAAGTTAATGAAGGGTGTTTATTTCCAGGCCCAGCCACAGAATGGCAGGGCCTCAGAGAGGCAGCCACGCTAAAAATAACTGTCTAATTAAGATTGCCATGGATATTATTACACAGCTGCTGTTGCTGCCTTGACTTGGTAAAAGGTGTCTCCTCTTTAATCACGGGGTGGACAAAATGTCCTGATAAAGCTGGTTATCCTCCATCACCTTGGAGTTAGGCACTCGCAGTGTGACATCTTGATGGCTGTACTTGGGCAATTCCCACTTCTGAATTAACACTGATGCGAACGTGCTTTTTATGTTAGTAAACATCACTGAGTGATGAGGTACAGGCTGCAGTAATTTTGCTGCATCCCATGCTCACATTAGTTGTCCACATGGCTTAGTACTTTCTGAAAATCCAGGAAGAAAAGGACTGTGCCTGTGGAGCAGCTGCTCTGAGGAGGGCACCAAGGCTATGGACAATTGTCCTGCCATACATACATGACCTTAGTCATTGCTTGTCATAGTGTCATGGTTTGTGTGAGCTGAAATGTTAATTTACAGCTTGCTCTATTCTATGAGCATGGTGAAGATCTGCCTCCGGGCTCCTCAGGACCTGCCACAGCCTACCATACACTCAGGTAGAGATCCACGTGGCTGCAGAGACCATCCTAGAAACCCCTGACATCTTGGTGAGCTGAGCCTGCAGCAAGCTGGGCTCAGCCTGCATTCACAAAAGGAGCACAGAGATGTTGTTAAAATGGAGCATCACCTGGGCTGTTGCTAGACTTGCAAGACATCACAGCCTCAGTTGGGAGGGCACTTAGGGAGTGGCACCAAAATGTATTGAGTCACTTTCTATTGAAAAGGTTTTATATCCCTTGCAGAGGAGCCTTTTGAGTGAAGCAGCACGCTTTGTTAACTCTTAAAAAACCAACATGGTTCACAGGTTTTGTTTCTGTTGGTAGTGTCTTACCCACCCCATCAATGGAGCTGAGACCAATATGAAAAATCATCTTCTGAGTTTTAGTTTTTCCACAGGGCTAAACCACTTGGTTGGTTGGGTGAAAAAATCACTGAAAAGAAGTATCCATTCTCTAAATCCCTGTCTCTGCCAGTAGTCATTACAGTCCATAACAGGGGAAACACTGAGACACTCAGAGGTTTCCCTGTAGAAATTCTCACCAATGTGTTAAAAATGAGATCTGTTGTTATGAATTGACTCAAGAAGAGGTTGGGTTTGCCAGCCAGCATCAAAACCCAGTGTGAAAATCCCTCCCATTCAGGCCAGCCCTTTTTTATGGTGCCTTACTCTAACTGTTTTGAGTCTTGCATCTTTTCTGCATTCTTAGCATTGCTCTCCTTAGAGAGGGAATGGTAGTTTTTGCTCCGTAACTCTTGTGAAAGCATGAATACACTTTAAAAGCAAACAAAACCAAAAATCAGCATAAAGCAGCGTCTTGTTTGGGAAGCCATCAATGCTTGAAGTTATTTACAAGATAGAAGAATGATGGAAATTGAACCAAACGTATCGTCTTTTGAATTTCCAGGTAAGGAAATCTGGCTATTCCCTTTATTTTAAGAAAATTATAATTTGTATGAGGTTGCTTTTTTTTTTTGCTTTTTTTTTTTAATCACTGAATGGCCACACTCTTAGACTCCACCAAGACAAGCTAGATGTCCCATCCTTGTAGAGGGCGTTCACCTGTTGTAGCTCTGTTGACAATAAGTACCTTGGGATTTAAGAGTGCAAATTATTTTTACTTGGAGCAGCCTCCAAAAAGAACGAGAGGGAAGGGGCTTGCAAACTTTGTGCCATGTTGTGCACAGACACTGGGGTTGTCATGAAATGGTCCAAATCTCTTGCTGCACTGCTGTACACTTGATACCTTTTACCAAGTCAAAACAGACACAGGTCTTCCAGCCAGCCAAAATGGCGCTTGGGCTTTGGTCATTAGGTTCCACTATGATCAGTCATTCACCTCATAGTCATTCACCTCATAGTCCTCTTTCAGCACGGGTTGGTTATACCTAAAGGTTAAACAAGCTGCCTGTAATTTCTCTTCTCTAAAGTGCGTGGGTCCTACTCCGCTGTGGCTACCCAGGATTGTCTCTGTTTTTGCAGACGTGCCCATTAGCAGGGCTCCTCCTCTCACAAGCCTTGGTTTCCACTGAGTTGTGTCAGTTCCCTGGTTTGTAACGCAACATGCAGACCAGCAGGGATTCAGCCTGCATTTTTATTCTTTTTTCATTTGAGTTTTAGATTGAGGGATGTTGCTTGGTGCCTGGTCATAATCCCCACCCATCATTTTCCTTCCCAGGAGACAAAAAGTTGCAGAGGGAAAAGTCAGAAAAGAATGTGGAAAATCAAGAGGACGTGAGGGGTCCACTCCAGCTCACTGCCTTAAAGCAAGGGAAGAGCCCCTACAAGCGCAGCTGTGACGAGGGGGAATCCCACCCCCAAACAAAGAAGAAGAAGATTGATCTCATTTTCAAAGATGTTGTAGAGGCTTCCTTGGAGTCTGCCAAATTTGAAGACAACCAGTTAGCAACAACTGTGCCACTTTCCATCAGAAAAGCATCTAAATACCAGGCTGAAGACATCTTTGAGAGGTGTGGCAGTGCCATGCAGCACAGCTCCCTGAATCTCAGCAGAAGCCGGAGTGAGGGGGAATGGAAGGTCCCCCACGGTTCCTCTTTCAGCTCAGCCAAAGAGATGGGCATCCTTGAAGATGAGGAAGAAGAGCCCCTGTCACTCAAAGCAGACAGCCCAACCGAGCTGTCACTGGCCTCTTCACAAGGCAACTCCCATGAAATCCCCACCACCTCCTTCTGCCCCAACTGCATCCGGCTGAAGAAGAAGATCCGTGAGCTGCAGGCCGAGTTAGACATGCTGAGATCTGGGAAGTTACCTGATCCACCCGTGCTACCGCCCCAGGTACCCGAGCTCCAAGAGTTCTCAGACCCCACAGGTAAGCCTTGCCAAGTAACAGCGTTCTCCAAATCCTGCCTAAGGAGAGTAGTGAGATGCCTGTGTGCTCTGTACCCATCTAAAGTGTTTTGCTCTGAGTATTCAGGTGAACATGTGGTTTCATGGAAAGTTCACTGTCAGGTTTTGTGACCAGTTGGGACCGGAGCTGATACAGTTGTGGACACAGTGGAAAACACTGTCTGGGAAAGACTCTGTATGACAACTTGCTCTATTTGTTGCTGTTGTAATCGATAATGCACTGCCAATAAAAAAGACATTCCATTGCAGACAGTTTGTTTGCTGTATTTTTGATGCATTCTCTTTCAGCGAAAGCCCCTCTGCAGTGCCTCACAGGCTACCAAGAAAAGCTGTATGCGTCTGTGGTAACGCTGAAATGTGCACTCTTTGTGTATGAAACAATGTCCTGCTGTGTCCCTTGTTGGAAAGCCTTCTCTGTTGCCTCCACTGCCTTAACCCAACCATGTGTCCCTTTCTGAAGATACATTTCATTTCCTCCAGGAACATGCTGTTGAGCAGCCAGGAGTCTTCACCAAAGGGACTATTTGGGTCAAACCATGTATTGTTCAAGTGGCCAGGATGTAGTGTCCTTTCTTGCTGTCCACTGTGGTGTGTTGGAGACAACGTTCACATGCAGAAACATTGATGTATTTTCCCTTCAAAGCTATCATTCTAATTTTACATAGTTCATTATGGGACGGAGCAGGCAGTTTGTGGCCAGCATGTAAGCCAGTCCTCTGCTGTCACCAGCAGGCTGCTTCTTTAGCTCAGCAGTTTTGTATATACCATAATTTTTTTCCTTTTTTTTTTTTTTTTTCTTACAGCTTCAGAAAGCATCATCTCTGTTCCCACCATCATGGAGGATGATGACCAAGAGGTGGATTCTGCTGATGAATCGGTTTCCAATGACATGATTGCTGCTACAGACGAGCCTTCCAAGATGTCTTCTGCGACAGGCCGGAGGATACGACGGTTCAAGCAAGAGTGGCTTAAAAAATTTTGGTTTCTGCGGTACTCCCCGACACTGAATGAAATGTGGTGCCACGTCTGTAGGCAGTACACAGTGCAATCCTCTCGGACTTCAGCCTTCATCATTGGCTCAAAGCAGTTCAAGATACACACAATAAAGCTTCACAGCCAGAGCAACCTCCACAAGAAGTGCCTGCAGCTTTACAAGCTCAGGATGCACCCCGAGAAGACAGAAGAGATGTGCCGAAACATGACCCTGCTCTTCAATACGGCCTACCACTTGGCCCTGGAGGGCAGGCCCTACTATGACTTTCGGCCTCTGGCAGAACTACTGAGAAAGTGTGAACTCAAGGTGGTGGATCAATACATGAACGAGGGAGACTGCCAAATCTTAATCCACCATATCGCCCGGGCTCTTCGAGAGGACCTGGTTGAACGCATCCGACAGTCTCCCTTCCTCAGCATCATTCTGGATGGGCAGAGCGATGACTTGCTTGCAGACACAGTTGCGGTTTATGTACAGTACACGAGCAGTGATGGGCCTCCAGCAACTGAATTCTTGTCTCTTCAGGAACTGGGGTTTTCTACTACAGACAGTTACCTCCAAGCATTAGACAGGGCTTTTTCCAGCCTGGGAATACGATTGCAGGATGAGAAGCCAACTATTGGCTTGGGAGTCGATGGTGCTAACATTACCGCCAGCCTGAGAGCCAACTTGTTCATGACAATCAGAAAGACCTTGCCCTGGCTTCTCTGCCTGCCCTTCATGGTGCACAGGCCCCACTTGGAAATTCTGGATGCAATCAGCGGGAAGGAACTGCCATGCCTGGAGGAGCTAGAAAACAATTTGAAGCAACTGCTCAGTTTCTATCGTTACTCTCCCCGACTCATGTGTGAGTTGAGGGTCACTGCTGCCACTCTGTGTGAGGAGACTGAGTTCTTGGGGGACATTCGAGCAGTGAAGTGGATCATTGGAGAGCAGAATGTGCTCAATGCTCTAATAAAGGATTACCTTGAGGTTGTGGCCCATCTCAAAGATGTCAGTGGCCAGACCCAAAGGGCAGATGCTTCTGCCATTGCCTTGGCCCTCCTGCAGTTCCTGATGGACTATCAGTCGATTAAACTCATTTACTTCCTGCTGGATGTGATTGCTGTGCTTTCACGCCTCGCCTACGTCTTTCAGGGGGAGTACCTTCTTGTGTCACAGGTGGATGATAAAATAGAGGAGGCCATCCAGGAGATCAGCCGGCTAGCTGACTCGCCCGGGGAGTACTTGCAGGAATTTGAGGAAAACTTCCGTGAAAGCTTTAATGGCATTGCTGTGAAAAATCTACGGGTGGCTGAAGCCAAATTCCAGTCAATCAGAGAAAAGATCTGCCAGAAGACCCAGGTGATCCTAGCCCAAAGGTTTGATTCCCGTAGCCGGACTTTTGTGAAGGCCTGTCAGGTATTTGACCTTGCAGCTTGGCCCAGAAGCACTGATGAGCTCATGAGCTATGGGAAGGAGGATATGGTACAAATATTTGAACACCTGGAGACAGTCCCATCATTTTCCAGAGAGGTTTGCAGAGAGGGGATGGACACCCGAGGGAGCCTGCTGATGGAGTGGCGAGAACTCAAGGTGGATTATTATACCAAAAACGGTTTTAAAGACTTGCTCAGTCACATTTGTAAATACAAACAGAGATTCCCCCTCCTAAATAAAGTAGTTCAGATCCTCAAAGTCCTTCCCACCTCCTCGGCCTGCTGTGAGAAGGGGCGCAGCGCCCTGCAAAGAGTGCGCAAAAACAACCGCTCTCGGCTGACGCTGGAGCAGCTCAGTGATCTCTTGACGATCGCCGTGAACGGGCCACCCATCGCCAGCTTTGATTGCAAAAGGGCACTCGATAGTTGGTTTGAGGAGAAGTCGGGCAATAGTTATGCGCTGTCAGCCGAAATGCTGAGCAGGATGTCATCTCTTGATCAGAAGCCCATGTTGCAGAGCATGGACCATGGCTCTGAGTTTTACCCTGATATTTAGGAAGGAATGCCTCGGATCAGAAAGCTGTTGAATAATTTTTTTAAATCTATACTCTAAACTTTGATATATTATATAAATATATATATATTATATATAAAGGAAAAACCCACACTGAAAATTTAAAAGTTAAGACGATGTGCGTCTGATAGAAGCTAAGCAGAATTTTAAAGATTGAGACCATGTTTAGACATTTACTGGTGTCTCCAACCATGGCAGCTGCAGTGTAGGTGGCAACATTTCATTCTGTAGAAGCATGTGCTGGGGCCATACTCTACATGTTCAAACCTAATGATCTATAAGCTAGACAATGGGTCTTTGTCAGCCTCCTCCTTTCCCTCCCAGCAGTTTCCTTGTATGTGTGTTACTGGTTTGTTTGGTTGGTTTTTTGTGTTGTTTTGTTTTGGGGTTGTTTGTTTGGTTTTTCCCTCTCAGTTATAATCTCTGCCTCTCTTTCAGTTGTTGAGTCCAGTTATTGAGCCATTTGAGCCTTTTGTTGATGTCTGTCGGATGTCTAATTTCCAACAGAGCATCCCGAGCGTTTATGTTGCCTCCAGCTATCCAGCTCCAGTCAGGTCTCTTTGCTTGAGTAGGAGCTTTCTTTACTTGCAGAGGTTGCTGGCAGGAGGGAAAGGCTGGGGGCATGATTTGGGGTTTTTCTTCTGATTTAGAAACAAACGCCTCCACTAAACTGTGATGCCCCTTTCTCCGTTCTCTGTACTTTTGGGCTGTAGAGTAATACTTGGCTTTCAGTTCCTTTTATGATAACTGTAGTACCAGTCTATCATACATATATTATAACATGATGTCATGTGCAGACTATAAAATAGCAAAATAGAGAAGGCAGGGGGAAATTTTTGCATTTATATTTTTATATTGTAGGAGATAAATATATATATATATATATATATACATACAACTATTCATTCAAAACCAGGGCTGCTGTGGAAGCTAGACAGCCAATGAGTCAAGAGCCATCTCTGGGCAGAGATTCAAAGGCTTAAAAAATTATATTCTAATTTACATTATTTATACTATGTCTTTATAATCCTAGATTGTTGTGGGGTTTTTGTTTTGTTTTGTTTTGTTTGGAATGACTGAAAGAAAAACCTGCTGCAGTTTGGTAGCAGGAGCTATCAATGCAAGATTATCTTGGAGTGTATTCATGTGATGATGTCCTACAAAGGTTCACGTATTCTCTTGTGACCAAGATAACATGTTCCACAGCACAGCAGACTGATGATAGCAGGAAGGGTCCTCTGCTTCTTCCTGTGAAATACTTCTTTTCTTGAAGGGATGCAGAGTCCAGCTGAAATGTGAGTGGAGGACTTGCATCTTCAATCACAAAGAGATTGTTCTGTGAGCTTGGGGTTCTTCTTTGTTTATTCTTTTAAAGTAAATGAGCTCCAGGCATTCACACCATATCACTTCAGGTTACAAAAGAAAACAAAAAAAAAAAAAAAGAAAAAAACAAAAACAAAAAAGAGCAACAACCAAAAAACAAACAACAACAAAAAAACACAAACAAAAAAGGTGCAAAAACTCCACAGATGCTAGTGCCTTGCCCTGCTGATGTGGCATGGACAGCACCAACCTGACCAGATCATCATGGGAGTGAGAACCTGTTGTCGAGAAGGTGTCCAAGCCGACATGTTCTCACCTCCCAGAGAGATGAGCTTTGTGCCAAGCTGTGTTGTTTGGAAACATGATGGTGGTATCAGCAACACTGAACCTTTCCTTTCTCCTGTTACTCCCCTGCCCTTGGTCTTGGTGCTAAGATATCTCTAGAACCGTTGCTGCTAGTTGATAGCTTTTCATTTATATAAATATATATATATATATAATATTATTTTATTTTTTAAACTTTTTTGTTTGTTTTCAATGGAGATGTAGCATGTTTGGAACCGATCTCTCTTGGAGTCACTTTCACTGCCAGGGTTCACACACTGTCTTCCCCAGGAAAACACGCACTTCTACCTAGGTCTTGCTCACCTCCCACTAACCCCTTTGCCCTCAGCAGCACCACAGCCAGCACCGGGCAGAGGCACGCAGCCAAGCCCCTACATACTGGCTTAGCTTTCAGACCCCATGAGAACAGCTAGACTGGTGTTCAGAGTTTTGGAAGTGTTTCCTCCCTGTCTCTACGGGACTGAGGAGGGACTGAGCCTGCCTGAAGCTCTAGCAGTGTCTGATCCTTAGGTCCTGTGCTGTAACAAAGGGCTTTTCAGCCAGATGGTCTGAAGGGCATAGAGAGTGGACCCTGTGAATGTAGTGGTGAGGGCTGGGCAAGCAGCGTACCCTCCGTAGCACTTACTCCCTGTCCCTTCTGCCTTACCTCAGATGGTGTGTGCAGCCTACAGCTGGCTTGAGCAGGAGGGGGGCACCTGCAGCGGGGCTACCTACCTGCTGCCAAACCGCCGGCGGGGCAGCAGGCACCGGGCTCTTCTCCCTGTGGTCCTCACGGACAGCTCCTGAGCTAGGTCAGGGCATCGCACTGTCACAGCGCAGGGATATCGATATGCAACGCCTAGCAAGCAAAAAATTGGCTTTGTTTGCATTTTTTCCTGTCTTTCTCAATAAATGATGTGATCAAATCGACCCGTTCATCTAAAAATTAAACTGGAAACCCTCCACCAGCTGTGCAGACTTGGGCAGTTGTTTGCCTGAACATGAAATAGGAATCTCTCCACGAGGTGCTTGCAGCCCTCCAGACGGTGGAGTCAGCTCTGCATTGGGTGCTGCCACAAAGCTTGCAGAGCTGCTCCCTGCTGGGGAGTTGGCAGGCTGTCTCTTTAGTTACAATTGGAGGAGGTATAAAAAGAAAAAAAAAAAAAGAAAAAAGGTAGAAGAATTTCTTCTTCATTAGTCTCTGACCTGGAGATGGGCAAGGTGAACGTAAATGTAGGAGACCAGCAGTGAACTGATGCACCAGAGGGGCAGCAGAAGCAAAAGTAACAAAGATACTTGCTACAAGCTGCTGTGGCTGTCAGGCTGTAAAGACAATTTGCCTTCTCCCTTTTTTTTTTTTTTTTTTTTTTTAATTTTTTCTTTCCACTGCTCAATTCCATAGCTCTTTGTGAGGGGAAAAAAATCACCTGGCTTTCTCTTTGCCGCAGTGAAAGCTTAGCACGTGGCTCTGTCACAGAGGCCCATCAAAGTGCCTGGCCTACATGGAGAGTAGGGACACTTGCAGACAGTCTCCAGACACCTTTGCAGACAAGAACACACCCCCAGAGCTTGTGCTGAGCCACCCAAGAGGCTTGTTTACAACTCCTGCTCTGAGCCTCTTCACTTTTGCCACTGGGGAGAAAATGGTGCCTTGCCTGTTGGTGGGGTAAGAGCTGCCAGAGGCTTGTTCAGAAGTTATTCCTGTAACTAGTCACTACTTTCCTTTGGTTTGTTTGCAAATCCCACTCTCATCCATGACATCTTTTACCAGCTGCTCTTATTCCTAATGGCAGAGCAAAATATATAGCAAGTGGTGATTTTTTTTCTCCAGGCAGTAAGCTGGACAAGGAAATTGTGATTCTCTGCCACGGGATGTTGCAGTTACATGTGATGGAAAAGGTCGGAGACCCCTTGTATTGGTGGGGGGTGGGAAGCAAGTGCTTGGAGGAGCAGCCAGTCTTGTCTAGCCCAGCTGCCCAAATACATAAAATTCCCCACCACCCCCATGCCCTGCAAACACAGGTGCTTTGCAAGCTTTCCCTCTAGGTTTACCGCTAACTAGTCACTACTTTCCTTTGGTTTGTTTGCAAATCCCACTCTCATCCATGACATCTTTTACCAGCTGCTCTTATTCCTAATGGCAGAGCAAAATATATAGCAAGTGGTGATTTTTTTTCTCCAGGCAGTAAGCTGGACAAGGAAATTGTGATTCTCTGCCACGGGATGTTGCAGTTACATGTGATGGGAAAGGTCGGAGACCCCTTGTATTGGTGGGGGGTGGGAAGCAAGTGCTTGGAGGAGCAGCCAGTCTTGTCTAGCCCAGCTGCCCAAATACATAAAATTCCCCACCACCCCCATGCCCTGCAAACACAGGTGCTTTGCAAGCTTTCCCTCTAGGTTTACCGCCTATCTCAGATCTGTAGCTGTTACTCCCATGGATAGTCAGTGGATGGAAACGTGACTGCCGGCAAGAGCAAGATAGGGAGGAGGGAGGAATACCAATGCAAAGTGCCCGTGGCTTCCCAGTGCCCCGCCTGCCCAGCCTTTAACTGCAGTAGGTGCATTTCCGTGCCTTGTTTGCAAACCGCTGTTCCTGACTGGGCAGCAGTGAGGCTGAGGGGCAGCAGCAGACATGGGGAGGGCTCCACGCCCCATAGAGCAAGGCCTCCCTTGGCTTAGAGATTGCTATGTGCCAGGTTTAATTGATGCCTTTCCTGCTGTGCTGGGCAAGCGAGAGGAGGTTGTTTTGCACGTGTTACTCACAGCATCTTGAACTGCTTTGGCTGCAAAGAGAGAAGGGTTTAGTTTTTCTCAAAGTGAGCTCTTTATTCTCTCGTTCCTCCCAGGTCTTAGCTGTGGTATCTGACTGTGAATAATACTCACTCTCCAGATCCTTGAATTTGTATTTCAAGCCCATGGGCTTTTTGGTTGCCTGTTTCCCCTCCCCAGATTTTGCTCCTTGCCTGTTACCCTGTTGGGAAGCCGAAATCCATGAAGCACATGCAGACATGCCCTTCTGCAGGGCTCACCAGTGGCTGCAGGGGCCCAGGCCCTCCGGCAACAAGACTGAACTCAGCAGGGATAATCCTCACAAGAGACCAAAGCTCTTCCCATACCAGCAAAAGCATGCAGGAGCCACAGGCAGTTGCGAGGGGACGTGGTAGGCAGGGTCCCAGTGAGTCGCCTGCCTTGGATCTCAGGCTGGCTGTGGTGGTGTCCCCCATGCTGGCCGCACTTTTGCTGATACAGTTCCTTAGATGTTCCTTAGTTCAGGCTTGGTACATCTCTTTCTCACAGCACAAACTCAGCCAGGTGGCCTGCAGAGTCTTCAGGGT